TTGATACTCCAGAAATGGAAATCAAACCAGTACCAGTTGTACCAGGCGTAAAACCCCTTCCCACTCCAATTAAACCGGGAGTTAAACCTCTTCCATTGCCAGTTCAACCAGGAATTAAACCAGTACCAATTCCAATCGAAGTTGACCCAGTACCAATTGTACCAGGAGTAAAACCCGTACCACTCCCAGAAGTTCAAACCCCAGAATTAGAAGTAAATCCTGTACCAATCGTTCCTGGAGTAAAACCTGTACCACTTCCAGAAATCGAAACACCAGAAACTGAAGTGCCTGTTGTACCAGGAATCAACCCCTTGCCGTCTATTCCGGAATGTGGCAAATATTTGGCTGACTTGATTGCGAAATTGATGAGATATTAAGTAGTTGTTTAAATTTTTAACAATTAAAAAAAATGTAAACTTTAAAGTACTTCATAAAATTTAGTCGAACATATTGTTTTTATCATCTTTAAAATAACTAAAAGTAATTGATTTGGAAACTTATACAGGGTGATTCATCTCAGCTCCGGTCTTCTGTAACTCAGTTATTATTTAAGTGGGAATTTTGATATTATTTATATTCTAGAGAGCATTTCAGGAAAATATTTTTGATTATACAGAGTTGTCCAAAAATAAGTTACAATACAAACTTATGTTTTATTTTTAAATGAAACACCATGTTTCTTGGCATTTTTTAATGTAATTTTTAATTTCATTGTTTTTAAGCTAAACTTCTATTAGTCGATTTTGCTTAGTTTTTGAATTAAGTTGTTTTTTTTTGGCGAAAACATCCTCTTTTTAAAAATTTATTACACAAAAGTTAAGACAGCTGGGAAAAAAAAATACTACTGTAAAGAGGACAGTATACGAACTTTAAGACTGTAACATTTTTTTAATGTATTGCAGCCGAAAATTTAAAAAAATGTCGAAGTTTGTTAAAAGTTAAATAACTCAAAAAAAATTTTTTTGCATCTAAGAGTTTATTAAATGATCTTTCCAAAAACATTTACTTTTAAGTTCTACAATTAATAACTTAAAAGATATTTAACTATAAACATTAAAAAAAATATCATTATTTCAATAGCCAAAAAGTGCACGTTTGCACTAGAGATGGAAGAAATATCACTCAATAATCACTTTTATGTTACACTGAATCCATTATTCTTTATTTGTAGAATAAAACAGTTCGAATTCCGATATTCATGTCGGCTTTTACAATTTCTGGACGAATCCCAAATAAATGATCAGTGTGGTTGCCTTGGTATCAACAATGCTTATTTGAATGATAGGCATTGTTGCTACAATTGACATTTCAAATTAAATATCTTTGAATTTATCAATTCTAGACATCAAAAGTTTGTTTTTTTAGATAGACAATTTATCAGTCTATGAGATGAAAAATAAAAAATAGGGTGTTGAATTTAAATTATTTAAGTTATTTAACTTTTAACAAACTTCGACAACTTTTCGACGGCAATACATTAAAAAAATGTTATAGTCTTAAAGTTTGTACTTTCCTCTTTAGAGTGGTAATTTTTTTTTACAGCTATCTAAACTTTTTATGTAATAAATATTTTAAAAAAGGATGTTTTCACTTATAATTACACGAGAGCTTACACGATGTTGCAATCAATTGCAAATATCGAGACCAAACCACGCCCTTAGTGAAGGGAAATTTCGATGTGGTCAAAATTTTGATTGAGAATGGTGCCAGCATTAATTCTACAAATAGTGAGGCCTGTAATCCACTCTTCGAATCTCCAAAACTTGTCGATTGTGACAGTACGGGATATTTAATAAGCAAAGAAGCGAAAATGGAGGCGAAATACTTATTGAAAGACAACTTTCAATGTATGAAGAGTTTAATTAAGAATAAAATTGAACTGAAGAGTCTTTTGCTGGACGACTTTGATTCTTCTACTTTACTAAAAGTAGTTAAAACTAAAAAAAATGCTCGTTTTGTAAATTATCTTTTAGAACAAGGACTCCCAATTGATTTGTATGATAAAAAACAAAAAAATCCACTTGTAGTCGCTGCAAAAATTGCATTTCTTGATTGTTAAACTTTTGGTCGATGCCGGCGCTGGAATTGATTCAGCGAAAGAAGAATTGGAAGAATTTACCAATCAAGATAACGAGTGTTATGTTTACTATCAGAGATTGAAACTAAACAAGGTAAAGACACAATTTTCAGATTTTGGTGAGAGATGTCACGAAACCGCAGAATAAACTAATCGTATAAAGTTTGTTGCAATTACTTTTCAATGTATTTTTTTTACAATAAAAATCATTTTGTATCGTTCCTTACTACGAATAGAGTTAATTCATTTTTTTCAAGATTATAACTTATTGACAAAATTAAATTAATTGTAACTGCTTCTTTTTTATTTCTATTTCAAGCTGCAATAATTGCTTGCGAAGTATTGCTTCTTCTTCTTGGTGTCATTGTACTCGTTGTGCACTTTTTCGTTGCTCGTCTTCTCATTTATGTTTTTTTTTTTGTTAATTTTCCAGTTCTGTCATCAACATTTTTTTTTGAAGTTGTGCTAATTCTATTACACAAATTGTTTTATTTATTGAATCCGTAACAGAAGATGGAGTAATTAGTACGAAATTTATGTTTATTTCTAATAAAATTCTTTATGATTTAACAAATTAGTTTATTTTTATAGGTACCAACTTAAAAATATGTAATCCAGTTATTCTAGAATAAAATTATTGATTTATCAAAGTTCCAACGCTTTAGTAATGTCCTCAGCAAGTTCGTTTTGTTCAACAATTGTAAAATGATTTCCCTTAAAATTCATTGTTTGAACTTTCTCTTCACAAAATTCCGACAAATTGTAATCTTCTTCCATATTCTCAACCATAGGAATTTCCGGTTTGTAAAGTTTAATCACTGATTTAATTTTCCTTTTGTGTGTTTGACATTCACGAATTGCTTTGTATCGTTTGTAGAAAGTGATCAAAGCTTGTTTATCCATTTTTTCATTTTTTAATAACTCTGGTGGTACCAAGGTACTTGCCATTTCAATCCGTTCATTGAAATTCTCACAACTTAATAACTTGTCTTTGTGTTTATCCAAAAATTCAATTGGAAGGAAATGAGCTAAAACTGTGTATATTATTAAAGTCTCAAATTCACTTTCAGTATTTCCGGAAAGGTGCTGTAAAACTGAAGCTTTCAGATATTTAGGAGCACCATCGATTGCAAAAATTTCGCCAAAATAATTTTCTTCTTCAAGTAGAGAAACTAGTTCTAAGGCAACAAGTACTCCGAAAGAGTATGCAATGAAAATGAAACTTTTCTTGTCTTTCAATAAAAGTTTCACATGCTAGAAAAAATGAAAACACAGTTAGAGGAAATATAGAGGGAATAATAATTCACCGGTAGAATATTAATTGCAATTTCTTGGATTGAGTTTTCGGGATTTTGAAAAGAATATTGCAATCCAACAACGTGAGCTTTGAGTTTTTGACTTAAAGGTTCAACTAATTTGGCTACACCTTCAATTCCGGGTAATACGAAAATAGTGGGGGCTTCTTCATTTTCATTGGCCAAACTTTGGAGCTTGATAAAAGGTAAATCTTCTGAACTACTGTCTGGTACAAACTGAAGTAAAGCCTTTGTGCCTAGTTCTATTTTTTCGTCTTGAGTTTTCGTGTTTTTTTGGTTCTGAAGATCGACCAGTCTGCAAAAAGTAATTTTGTTGTTTATTTATAATTACCGGAAAAAAGTTTGTATTTACTTAGCAAATGTCATATTTCTTAAATCTTTTGCTGGAATAAAAATGTCAAAGTCTTTTTCTAATGTTTGCAAAATTTCGCTTCCTAAAATTGAATCCATTCCAAGTTCGGTTAAAGTCGATTGTTGGTTTATTGTTTTGATGTCTTTGATGCCTAAAATGGCACAAACTGCATCGACCGGAGTTTCACCCCCGATTCTCTTATCGCGTTTTTCTGCCACCACCATTGAGGACACTATTGGGTCTTCTTGGTTCAATAATTGGTCCAAGACGTTGAGACAGCTGGAGATTTTCTGTTGTAGAGTACCACCGATCACTAATTCTTTGTTATCTTTCTGCATTTTGGCAACTAAACCTACCTAAAATTTGATTTAGATGAATTCAAAAAGCGAGAAATGCTTACATCTCCGATTGCTCCCCATTGTATGGCCAAGGCGGGAAATCCTTCAATTTTCCGTTTTTCGCAAATTCGTTCCATGATCGAGTTGGCCATGCCATAATTAGTTTGCCCGATGTTTCCACGTCCACAAGAAACTGATGAAAATACTACAAAATATCGCAAATTTGGACACAAATCTCGTGAAACTTCGTCCAAATATTTCGTGGCGAAAGCTTTGGGTGTTAGAGAAATCCTGAAAGATTCTTCGGTTTGATTTTCAAATAGTTCATCTTTAAGGACAACTGCTAGGTTAAAAATGCCGTCAACAGGACCCAATTTTGACGCTTCCTTAATTAAATTAAGGCAATCTTCTTTTGAAGAAATCGTAATTGTGGAAATGTGGACACGAGTGCCGTATGATTGCCAAATTCTAGATTGGGATTAATTGATTAATTAATTATGACTTTTTTATTGCATTACTTGAATCGTTGGGTTTGATAACCGGTTTGAATACCAATCCTGGAAGTCAATAGGAGATTTCGAGCACCTCTCAAGACCAACCAATCGGCCAATTCTAAGCCAAACCCTCCTAAACCACCAAGAATTATGTAACATTTCTTCGGATTAGCCCAAAATCTTCAAATAGAAATTAAATCAAATCATTAAAATTAAATTATTTACTTTGGTAAACACTGAATGGAATTTTCTTTAGATTCAATTTCATTTTCATCTCGAATTTTTATTAAAACTTTTCCAATGTGTTTCCCAGTTGTCATAAATCGGAAAGCAGTTTCGACGTTATCGCTTTCAAAAAGCACCCTGGGAAGTGGTTTAATATATCCAAGTTTAACACCTTCATCAAATTTCTTATGAAGTTCCAATTTAAGATCTTTTGGATTTGTAAATATCGAATCTAACATAATACCATGATAACTCGCCGATTTTTCAAGTAATAAAAGTTGCAACGAATTATTATTTATCAAATCATATTTCCCAATTTCTATAAATTTCCCACCTTTAGCCAAACACTGGACCGAAATTTTCAATTTTTCCTCAGTCAATGAATTCAAAAGAACATCAACTCCACGACCTCGAGTCTCTTTCAAAATCATTTCTTTGAATGAAGTGTCTCTCGAATTCCCAATATGACTTTCTACAACCAAACAAATTAATTCACAATTTGATGGTAAATCGCAACAAGTACCAGGAATCTGTGGGTAATTTTTCTTGAGAAAATCGCGTTTTTCTTTAGTACCAACAGTCACAAATACATTACATTGATAAACAAGTGCCACGTTTAGGGCTGCAAGGCCAACACCTCCAGTACCAGAATGAATGAGAATTGAAATACCGGGTTTTAAATTTACACGCTGAAAATTTTTATTGTATGGAAAAAACACTAATTGTTAATTTATTAATTACCATCAAAAGGGCGTAAATAACAGTACAGTAAACCACCGGTACTGTTGCTGCCTCTTCCAGTGACCAGTGAGGTGGTACCATCCAAGTCATATTTGGATCAGGATCAATTAACGTTGCCAACGCTCCATTATTTGTCATTCCCATAACACGATTACCTCTAAAAAAATTCTAAGATTTGTTACACTGAAGATGACCACAAACCGTAAATCTTTGCCACTAAATTCAAATCCTTCAATGTTTTCTTGATTGATCCGATCTATTTTCAGAATTATTCGAGCTGAAGCAGTCATGATATCTTTAAAATTAATAGCACAAAAATTAGTCTACAATTCACTCAATTATAATCGAAAATTACAAAATTATAACAATTTACTTTAATTAAATTTCCGTTATTATCCTTCAAAGATAAAGGACCTTCAACCCATTTCAAAGTTGACAAATCGCCTCGTGAAGTACAAGTGATAAATGAGTGTTCCCTGAAACTGTTAGTACAGTCTTCCAGACGTAAATGTCGGTAAGTCCCCCATTGTCCATTTTTATAAACATTGAAACTCAAATTTTTCTCAATTTGTTGAGTGTAGAAACCATTTTCGGGATTAAATTCAGGTGCTTGATCCATCACAAAAACACATCGAATTTTCCTTCCTTCCGGCTCTCTTCTTACACAATTAACAAACCCTAAAATTCCCTCAGTTTCGCGATTTTGGCAAGACAATATTATCTCATTTGGATTCTTCAAAGCTTGTTTCAATTGTGATATCCATTCGAAATGGTTTGAACTCAGTTCAATCACTTGTCGATGACTTGTTTCACTTTTCCGGAAAAGTATAAATTTTTCATATTTTGTGCAATGTTGAGTCAGAATTGTAATTCTTTCAGAATTTTCCGGCACGTAGTATAAATCTTCACGACTCAAAACAAATCCATTTGGACTCAAAGCGGCCAAAACTTGATTTAGAAGAGTCGTTCTTTGGAACAATTTTGATCCAACAATTAGGAGAAGATTACTAGAAGGGGAAAGCGTAATTGGCTCAATTTTCACACCGGGGATTTCCTCAATTTCCTTTTTGGTCGAAATAACCAAATTTGGTTGCACTAAAGGTACATCTTCAAGGGTATTAAACACCAAAGGCATCACAAGTGAATCAAGAGAAAATTCGTCGTGGATTTCCAAAGCTTTAAAATTTTGTTCAAGTGATTCCTCTAAGATGATTTGGATGTTAATCCGGATTGATTGACTCAAATCTGTTGTAAAATCATTTGGGATAAAAATATTGGTCTCCAGGACTGGCGCTAAAGTCGCTTTGCGGCGGGAAATCGGTCTAGCGTGAAGACCACAAATTTCGATTCCTCCACACCTGGAAAACTCATTTAAGTCGAAGAAAAAAACGGTAAATTAAAACTTACTTGACAAGATTATTGTTTTTGTAGGAATTGACCTGGAGAAGAGTTTCTTCACTTTCTGTAACTTTATTGGTTTCTTCACTTTTTATGAAATTTTGCAAATGTTTAATTGGATCAATTGAAATTCTATCAACTCCAATGGGGACAAATAAAAGTCTTGAATCTAATTCAAGTAGTTTCATTTGAAGCATTTTATCCATAAAACTGACCCAATTATTCTCCCATCGGATTAACCCAACTGAAGCATCAACCTTACACTTGACTATTCCTTTAAAAAATCCCGTGTAATTGTATCCTCTCAAATACAACTCTTTATAAACATCAGATTCATCCAAAACGTCTTTTGAGTCATTTCTTAATTCCAATTCCGGCAAATTGATGAAATTTATCTCACTAGGAGTGTAAACTCGTCCTGTGACAACAAGATTATTATTTTCAGTAATTTCAAAAATTCCACTTGTTTTTTGCAATGAAACAGAGAATGTGATAAATCCACTTTTCGGTATTGTTGTAGCTCTCACAAATTTGCAATTTTCAAAAACTATGGGAAGATAAACGGGAATTAAGTTTCTCTCTTTCGCTATCAATTCCCAAACAATGTTTAAATATCCGGTTGCTGGAAATAAATTTCGACCATCAATTACATGTCCTGATAAATAAAGATTCTCTTCAGCTAATCTCACATCGTATTCCATACTTGAATACTCAGCAAGTTTTACAAAAGGATCGACCTCCCAACTTTTGGAATGATTCCATTTTATTAATGGTGCAATCATGGGTGTATTTCTACCAACTGGAAATAAAACCTCTGGGTACAATTTATCGAGTTGGAGGTTGTATCCTTGCTTAAATAATTTGCCCAGAATTTGTAAAAATATGTGATTTTTTAAAAGCTTTTCGTTTGTATTAGAAAGATCCAAAATGATGGAATTTTCAGAATATGTGTTTAAACTTTCAAATGTTGGAGTTTTTCTTTTGTGTCTGTCTTTTTTTGGATTCGAAAGTACTGGATTTAAAACCTTGAAATCCAAGTCAAGTGTTTGAAGAATTACTTCTTTAAGTGTTAACTTGTGGTCGAAATAATCACAAGTTGGTTTCCCTGTCAAGTCTGTGGAGATCACAGTTGGGTCAAGGCCTATTTCTTTTAAAGTGTCAACAACTCCGATTTGAACTGCAATGCCCCCTAAAATTTCTTCACCGGTTTTTATGCCTTGTTTTTGAATTATATCAATAATGTTTAAGTTGTAGTCACTCAAAATTATATTGATTCTAAAAAAATGATTCCAAAAAATGTCGATTTTGAGTAGTACTTACCGATGCATCGAATTTTGAAAACTAGGGAATTGTAAAAAGTATTGTCCCACAATTTGGTACAACTTGTCAAAACGCCCAAAATTGACATAAAACGTTAATTTCTGATCCAAATTTTGCTCAATTGAAGTATCAAGAATACCATTTTTCGTTACAATTGAGTACCCTCTATACAAATGATCCGTAAATTGTTTTTTAAAAATTTGATGTAGTAAACCAACAAATTCACAGTTAAGTGGTTCCAAATTATCCAGAATTGTCTTCACACTTTCTTCAGTTCTACCACTCACACAAACCAATCTTGGAATGTTGTCTTCAAAACGTGATTTCTTTTCCGAAATTCTTTCAAGTATTACATGACAGTTGGTACCACCAAAACCAAAATTACTGACACTCATTATGGTATCGTCACTTTGAAATGGAGTTACTTCTGTTACAACTTTCATTCTTCCTTCTTCCAATGCAACCATGCCGGTTTTAATTTTTTTTAAATTAATGTTAGGGGTGAGAAATTCTTCTTCCATAGCAAGGAGTACTTTAATAAGAGCTGCCATCCCTGAAGCTGGTTCTGCATGACCTATACTGGATTTGACACCTCCAATATAAAGCGGTTTTTTTCGTTTTGTACAAATGGCATTATCTACAGCTTGGACCTCTTCTGAATCTCCTACTTTAGTACCGGTACCATGAAGCTCCATGTAAGTTAGACGGGATGGATCAATGGTACTTTCATGGTACATTTCTCTAAGTAGTTTGCTTTGCATTTCAGACGACGGGAAGAAAATCCCTTCGTTTTTAAACCCATCATGATTCGATTTCGAATGAATAATCTTTAAGAAGTAGAAACATTGGTACTCATTTGGTTTAAGTATAACTCGTTATTTTGGCAATGAAATAAATACGAACAAGAAACAAGCATTATAGTACTAATTTTTTATACTTAGTGTAAGTAGGTACCAAAATAGCTCCCAAATAATTACTACTTAGTACTCACTTTTGCATAAATCCGTCGAGCATTTTTCGCCGTTTGTAGAAAAACACAAGCAATTGTTTCACTTCGGACATAACCATCAGCATCTTGATCAAACACCTTGCAACGTCCTTCTTTACTCAAAACGCCAAAACTTAAAATTAATTATAATTTAATCAAATTGAAAATTGTTAAAATGGTACCGGGCAAATTGTAAAGTTGTGTTTAAATTGAGTGTTAAATTGCAGCCTCCAACTAAGGCATTATCACATTGCCCACTTCTTATAGCCTTAAGAGCATGATCTAGAGCATTAAGTGAGCTACTGCAAGCAGTGTCGACAATATAACTCGGTCCTTTTAGTTTCAAAAAATAACTGAGTCTTCTTGGAATAAAGGAACGCTCAAAACTAGTAAAATAAGAAAAAAAAACATATCAAATAAATGAAATTACCCAGTAACTCCAAAAGTTTGTGGTTGGTCGATACTCTTCAAAGATGCCCATTCAACATCCGACCAGGAGTACCCCACAAAAACCCCGGTTTTGGTTCCTTTCAATTCGTCTGGATGCAATCCCGCATCCAGGATTGCCTCCAAACTAACCTCAAGAAACCCTCGAAGAGTAGGCTCCATAGTCTGGCATTGCCTCCAATGAACCCCAAAAAATCCCAGATCAAATTTGGTAATGTCAGGGAGAAGTCCCGCGGTTGGAGGTACTTCTGTATGTTTTACCATCCAACGTTCTTCAATTTTTGAAAGCATTGATTTCTTGTTGACTAGATTATCCCGAAATTCTCTCACGTTCTGGGATTTGGGAAATTGTCCCGAAATTCCTAAAATTTACGACATTAGGGGCTTGGAGAAAATTAGTAGTACCTGTAATGACGACTTCTTCGCCAGGAGGCGGCGTAGAAAGCCATCGACCGAATTGGAAGCTCTCGTCTTGCATGATTAAGATTGGTAAGAAAATTTGGGCGCGGGTTTATATAGTACCAACTAAACTTTTTAATTCTTTTGTGTCTATTCATTGTTTTTTTAAACAAGGAAACGAGATTTATTTTGAGGATTTTTGGAATTTCAAGGGCAAGTTTGTTTTTATTTTACGCAAAAATGCGTAATTTTATTTAAAAATATGTAACAATAATCAATGGAAAAGTGACATAAATTAATAACAAAAGGATGTATATCCCTTGACTTAAATAAAATTTGGTTGTCAAGGTTTTTCCTATTATTCCACTCGTTGAAATAATATTCTAAATATGCAAAAATATTCAGTAGGATTAATAATTACCTATTTGACATGCAATAAATATGTAAAATTGTACGCAAAAATTGATGAAATTTGAGTGGTACTACTGAAACCTTGTATGTCAATTTTGAACAAATCCTAAACAGTACTTTTTTAATTTTTGTATTATTAAAAACAATGTGTTACGTGATCTAATAAGCAAAAGTCAGTTTCGAAATTGTAGAATCAGTTGAGACTTATGTAAATAATTCCAGAAGGTACTAATAATAGAGGAAATGTGGGTAAAATGGTATACTTAAGGTTTGGAAATTTTTGTCTAAATATTCACAAGTTCAACAACTAAGGGCCAGTTTAATAATCTCAGTAAAGGATCTTTAAAGTTAATGTTGGTTTAGAATGTGCTCATTACTATGGACCTGTTGACATAAATTTTACATTCTAAACCAACATTAATTTTTAAAGTCCCTTTAATTCGATTATGAAACTGGCCCTAAAACAAGTTTTTATAAAAAATCATTCTTTTATAAATAAATATACAAAAGTAAAGTTTTAACTTATGTAGTTGCGTGATATATTTTTTAAATTATCTGCAAATTTTCCATTGTGTCTAAGCTTGTTGGTAAAATGAAATATCGCATATTTATAAAATGGAATGGGTTTATCGCCTAGAAATAATATTTATTAATCAGTTTTTTAACAAACTAATTCACCATATTTACAATTATCGCAACAAAGGTATCATGAATCCTCTTCTTGCGTAATATGCAGCGGATTCCCATCCCCCTCCACTTTTGCTTTTTGTATTTGTCAAATAAATTGTTATTTTTGACATTTGACCTTTTTTATGTCTATTTAATATTAGCGATGATCTTGTATAGTAATAAAAATTAAAATTTTATCACAGTTTCCCAAGAACAAATGGTGACGATCTGTAACCTTTTTACGATTAAATTTTTTTAAGGATAGAAACCCCTTGATCCGTGCCACCACCGCGTTTTATCAATTGTTGCAATAATCAAGTACATTTTTAACAAATTACTACCATGGTTTCGACTTTTTGGTAAATGTTAAGGACTAATAGATACAAAGTATTAGTATTATTATTATTATAAAAAAAAAAAAATTTGGGCATTGACCATTTTCCACGTGGCCAAGGAGGCTGATCGTTAGGGATAGTGTTGCTATCAACTAATGATATGTGTCCAGTAATTGCACGTGCAGGCACGACATTTATACTTTGACAGTGAAACAAACACTTAATTGATAATTGTCAGATATCCCACCTCTCCGGATACTATTAATTATTTTTTTTTTTCGTTTAAATTTGGCTGGAACCAGAGCCTCCAGTCTCCGACAACTGAAGGGAAATTCCAGTCGGGTTAATCCATACCCTAGAACCTGCTCCATACGACCGCATGGTAAGCAAATCCTAGGTCCACAAATCGTGTGCCCTGAGCAGACGCAATGAACCGAGGATTACCGCCTTCTGCATTTGACCGGCAAGTCGTTCAGCCGCGTCGCGGCATGCCGGAATGATCTTCAAAGACGAAAGCAGCGTTGGTCTTGCACCCCCTAAACATCCGATGACCAAGACGACCAGTTTGATAGAATAGCCAGGATACAGCCTACGGAGCTCCTGAAGGAGATCTCGGTATTTTAACCGCTTGTCCTCCTCCTTAGCGGAGATGTTTGGCTCAGCCGGAGCTGAGAATTCGATCACAAACATCTCCTTAGATAGAAGATCGAGGAGGACAATGTCWGGCTTGTTGGCCTGAATGAGTCCTGTAGTKGAGAACGAAAARTTCCAATAAATTCGGCACTTCTCATTCTCYACTACCGACTCAATGTCTCCTGGAGCATAGGGAAGCACAGGTGTTTCGTCTACMCCGTACGAGTGTCTAAGGTGGTAGTAGACCACTCGTAAGGCCGCATTGTGGCGATGGATATAGGACGACACTGCATACTTCGGACAAGCCGACAGTATGTGCATCASTGTCTCTGGTGCAGTGCGACATGCCCTKCACCGGATATCCGGAATGYCCATACCCATYACGCGGCTGCGATAGACGAGCGTGTTAAAAACACCATCTTRGCAGGCTATGATAAACCCCTCCGTCTCCGACTTTAACCCACTTGCYTTCAAGAAGGCAAAGGTCARCCGCTGAGACAAGCCCTGGTCTTCTATGGTTTTATAGMAGACACCATGCATGGGCTTGTCACAGTGCTTGCGCAATAAACTGCGCACCTCGGCTTCCCTTACGTGGGCCTGGAAACGAGTATCCTCCCACTCTGTGACTGAGTTTTCAGACACTCGTTCCTCATCGAAGACAAGACCGAGTTCATCCGCTGCCCTTCGTGCTGCCCTAAACAAAAATGCTCCCACCTCCCCTCTTTYGTGTTCGCATACCATGCGAAGAAGGGGATCCGAGCTCCTGATGATCTTACAGGCTGTACCCAAAGCTACTCTGTCGTGCAGACACCGCAAACTCAAGAGTCCACGGCCTCTCCGATTACGTGGGAGATATAACCGTGGATCGGATGATTTTGGGTGATGACTCCTTTGAAGAGTCATCATTTTGCGGATCCCTACATCGAGGTTTTGCAACTCGCCTTTAGTCCACTTCACTACTCCAAAAGAGCAGAGCAGGATCGGAACGGCAAGCATATTTGTTGCGGCAACTTTGTTCTTCCCCGACAGTTCGGAAGACCAAATTTGCCGGAACAGTTGCCGATACTTGCCACGAAGAGACTCTTTGATTTTACCTACCTCTTGAACATTACGCTGTTCAATGCCGAGGTAGGTATAGGTCTCTCCGGCATTCAGATGTTTAAGAATGCTTCCATCAGCAAGTTGCTCATCCTCTCCGTATTCTCCGCATCGTCCTCTCTTGATATGGACCAGTGCGCATTTGTCCATTCCGAACTCCATTCCAATCGCATGAGTATACTCCTGCACCACCCTAAGAGATTGTTGTAGTTCTCTTTCTCCGGAGGCGTAAAGTTTAAGGTCATCCATATAGAAAAGATGGGTGACCCTATGCCTCCGGTGCGAAGGTGGGCCGCAAGTATATCCCTTTGTTTTTCGTAAGGCAATTGAAAGCGGAAGTAGCGAAATGCAGAACAAGAGGGGACTCAAGGAATCTCCTTGAAACACCCCTCTCCGGAACGTCACCCACTCTGTGCGAACTTTTGTGGCACCTGATGTTATGGGGAATCTGGTTATTATTATTATTATTATTATATTTGGGCATTGACCATTTTCCACGTGGCCAATATCAAGTTGAAAATTGTGTATTTTTTAAAAAGAATGTTGAGCTATTCAAGCATTTTGTCAAAACAAAATATTTTCAGTTTTAATAAGACTATTCCATAATTTTGCGGCTCATGTAAGGATTACAACTTCATATGTTTTATTCACATTTTATCGATAAAAAATTTCATATAAGTTACCATTTAAAAACAATTGCAAAACTCAAAAACAGAGCACTTTAATTTTTATTATCATTTTCTAAAGGCAAATATTAAAAAAAAAGATTGGTTCCATAACATTGACATAACATTGATACGTTGAGATGTAAAAAAAATGTAATACCTTTAAAAAAAGAACAAAAATGCATAAATGCTGAACTTGAAACAACTTTACTCAGTCATTTTTCAAATAATCGATCTTAGTTTTTGTAGGATAATTTAAAGGAATATTATATAGGCCGATGCGCTGACATTTTTTTGAAAAAGTGTTTTGTTTTTGAGATATTGTGATGTAAAAGTCACGATATTTAACGGTAGACCTATAGATTCGTTTTAGGGTTTTGGTATTTATTACAAAATATTAATTCTTAACAAATTCCACAAACACCATATAATAAAACACACAATTATTAGACCAACTTCTTTTGTTTTCAGTAAGGTAACTTTGTCAAAAGCAGTAACTGCTTTGCTCTCACTGTACCTGTTATTTGCATTTCCACAAAAAGATCCATAAAGAAGATTCTCTATTACTTTTTTTGTGGAGATGATTTTTCTTAATTTGAAAACACGTCCAAAATTTGATGCTGTAATTTCTTTCTCTTTCTCTTGTATTAATTTCTATGTTTTCTCTCAACTTTTCTAAAAACTCTTTTTCAACAAATCGGGCTCAGCAACTTTTTTACTTTTTCTATAGCTTCTTTTCTGCAATCTTTCTTTGATTTTTTGGATTTTTTTACAATATTTGTAAGTATATTTGCCTATACCCCTTCACAAAATCCGTTTCTGATTTTCGTTGTGATAACTTTCATGTTTCGAATTGAAAGAAACTGCTGCGGCTACTATCCCCGTCTCCAATTAATTTTCCACATATGTATCAAATAGTACATCTCAAATGATTTGCGAAATCCTTTCAAAATCACATCAGCTTCCACGGCAGTGGATGGCCCCTTATAATTTTTGAAACACAAAGATGATCTGTGGAGTTTGTTTTCCCGACACTGTCTCTATCACATGTTGTGCAATACTTATTTCTCACTCCCAAAAACAATTTTTTTTTAGTTTTGGCACCGATGTTGGAAGCAACTCCCGACGCAGCATTATAGTTCGTACGGTACGACCATGCTCCATTAGCAATTACTGATATAACCGGAGTACCATTTTCATCAACGTCCCCACATTCGATTGCCAATTGTTTTTCTTCTCTAGCTGCAGCATGCACTTTTTCCCATAAGCTTTCTTGAATTTTGTTAGAGATAGTTCGAGAATGAGCAGTAAATGTCTTGTGGCACTTAAAAAGAATGTCGATAGCAGAAAATAACTCTTCAGACTGAGAATATCCAATCCCAATTGAAATACCACCGCAAACAGCTTGTGAGTGAATTTTATCTACTCTTTTTTTTGACATTAGATTTCATTGTTGAATTTTACTTTGACATTTATAAATGTCGACCAAATTGACTACAAAATTAGTGAGGATTGAATAAAGTTTTATATTGTACACGACGATAAAATTTTCATTATCTTTTCGAGCATATTAGCATATTGCTCTCAAAGATAATATTCAATTTTATCGTCTTGTATAATAAATAACTATTATCTTTCATTTTACGCCAAAACTGCAGAGGAGAAACATTTTTCGCTTCACTTGAAACAAGCAAATCTGTAATTGCACTTTACTTACACTTTTGCAGTGAAAAGAAAAGTTAATTTTTCTTTTGATTTTGGACCATGGACCTAGTATTAGTTAATATCGAGCGATCAAGATAATTTGTAATTGAGTCTTCTTTGCATCCGAGATAACGTATGTTTGTTTTTGAACTAACTGCACATGAAACGTCAAATAAAAGGACAAGTCGAAAGGTAAAACGTCAAAATAGGCTGGAATTCGTCGCCCACGTATAGTAATACGAGTAGAACCGTTGTTTTTTGAAGAATAAATTTAGGTATTATAATCATCACCTTTTTGTTCATGCCACTTTATCTTTCGACTTGTCATTTTACTTGACATTTTACAGACATACGTTTTCGGATCCAAGGATGACTCGATTACAAATTATCTTGATTGCTCGATACTATCTTCATGTTTTGGACTTTATCTTTGCTTTTTAAATCCTATCACATTGGTGGTTTTATTTAATTGATATGTCACTTTGACAATTAATTTATTAATTAAAAAATGATAGTTTTGTTAAAAATGACTTTGTTTTTTATCTTAAAGCTGTTTGTTTATTTGAGTTGCTATTTATCAAAATTATGTTTTTCCCACACATTTTTTTATTTAACTTGCGAAAACTTATTTGTCAAAGTGACATTATTGTCAAAAAAATAAAACCGCCAATGTGATGGGATTTAAAAAGCAGAAACTCATCGATGGTGAAATTCTGTTTGTTTACATTATTTCCATTTTATGACTAAAGCGACCAGGCACCCCGTAGAGAAGGTCGGATGATTGACATCTTCCACAGAATACAGGTCTAAAAAAGTATGCAACTTACAGTACACCAAGTCTGAACAGTTCATTCGGTACCCTAGAGCCTTAAGTAATATCCCTAGTAAAGTTGGTATGAAGTGTTTTGTTAGTTGCATAGCTTAAGCAAGCCAAACGTGGTCAAACCCAAATAAGGGATTTTCTATTTGTTCTTACTACTTGATACCGCTTGATACGCGGTATGTTAGTGGTATGTTGAGCAGTATGACGTCACGGTATGTGTGTACAAAGCGCTAAATTTAAAATCTAGGGAGTTTGTCGCTGTTGATGTGTTGAAGTTGGGTGGTCATATTGATTGTCACTTGTCTTTACGATTTAATTCAATTTTGCTGGATTTTAATACAGAACTCATTCTAAATCAAAGTATTTTATAAAAATAAGTGCTTTAAAATCCAATTTTAGGCCAAAATGAAGCAATTTTTGCTATTTTCAATCGATTTGGCTCAATTTTAAGCCGAAAATCAACCTTATTCAAAGTTTTTCAACAAAATAAATACACAAATGACAGATTTTTTCYAAATAAAGCAGTTTAAGCTACTTCCATTCCAATTTTGCTAAATTGTAATCCTCGAATCATTCTCAATTAATGTATATTAAAATAATAACTGCTTAAATTCCAAAATGAAGCAATTTGTTTAATTTTCAATCGATTTGACCCAATTTTAAGCCAAAAATCATCCTAAAGCAAAATATYTTAACAAAAAAATGCTTAAGTAACAGTTTTCCGCCAAAATAAAGCAATTTGAGGTACTTTCAATCCAATTTTGATCGAAATCGTTCTAAATCAATGTACTTTATAAAAATAATTGCTTCAATCCCAATTTTACGCTGAAATGAAGCAATTTGTGCTATTTCCAATCGATTTGGCTTAACACAAGACATAAGAACAGAGGTTAGGATCTGTTGTCAAACGCTAAACAGCTGTTTCTTACCAAGATACCGCTAAACAAGGACAGAGCACATACCTGCGCTTGAGGATGGTAAGTTCGTGTATGTTGACCGGAACATACCGTGACGTCATTGTGACAAATCGAAAACGGTTGGTATGTTGTAGTATCATGTGGTATCAACCGGTATGTACAAATAGAAAATCCCTAAAGTCTTTATAATGGGAGGTTGCCTGGTAACAGTATCGGTAATACAGTGCGCTGCAGCGTGACGTCACCCAGTATGCTGAGACGCCGGTGACTATGACAGACTGTGACTATCCTCAGCTTTTCACTTGTGTGTTAATTGCCATAAAAAGCCCAAATTTTAGGGCCGCCCCAAAAATAAATATTTCTCATTGATTAAAAAAAATTTTTGCTAGTGCAAACGATGGAGGATTATATAGACAATTTAGAATTTGATATTGTTGTGTATGTCAAAAACTAAATTTGGAAAAAAAATAATTGGTTGTGTTAGCTGCTTTAACTAAAAGAGCTCAAATTCCTTTTTCTTCTTGGTTACCCGCTGCTATGGCGGCTCTTTTCTACATGGTAAAATTCCTTGATTTTTTTTAATGGTAATTATGAAAACTGAATAATGTAAAAGTTGATACGATTTTGAGTACCTAATTAAGATTTTAATATTGAAAATTGGGAATTCGGTAATTTATAGCCAAGTTTGGGATGATGTGCTGCTAATGCATTGACAAAAGAGAGGAGGCTTCACAACAGAGTTCGGGTACGTCATAAATGTCATTGCGGACCTGTCTGTATTTGTTTAATCATTCATTTGTAATCATAAAAATAAAGCATTTATATAAAAACAATCTACTTATTGTGTTTTAATATCACGAAAAGCTTTTCCTGCTATTGGCTAAGCGTTACCAGACAACCTCCCATTATAAAGACTTTGGTCAAACCAACAAAAAAACGGAAGTTCTTTCTATTATGTTTTCTGACTTTTTGAGTTAGTTACTTTCACCAATTAGTTTTTCTTGGTGTTATTCTGTATTTTGAAACTCATTGATTTAATTAATCATTGAATCTTATACTTATATCAGTTTCATTCACTAATAAAACAGTTTAATCAGTCGATTACCAATAATCGAAAGCGGTCCCAAGACCCCCGCTCTGTTGGAAAAACGCTTTCGAAAGGAATAATATTTAAACATTAATAAAAATTTACACTATTGATCGTGTTTTATTCATTTATTAGTACATTACAAACGAGGTGGTACCCCGAGAGGCGCCATCACGAATGGTAATGCTATTACCACCGATGTTTGAATGCTATTTTATTCACAATCATATTATTTTGAGTCAAAAATGTAAATAAAATGAAATTCTAACAAAGTTAAGGTCCAAACGTTGTATGCCATCCAAATTGCGTTTGATTTTTGACATTTCAGAAATGTCAAAGAAAATTTTGAAACAATGTGTGAATCTGATTTAAAATCGTTGAAATGGAGCAGTCGAGCAGTGCACTCCCGCAGAAGTAAAAAAAAGTGTGACATAAGCAACAATTAAGTACCAAGAACGGTAAGGACCGATCGAAGAAAATTGTTTCGAGGAGCGAAGCGACGAATCCAATTATTGTCTGAAATCGTTAAGTCCTTAACGTTTGTGATGCTTATGACATTTTTTGCGCGATTGATTTTTTTTGTTCTAGAACGCCAATAGTACATTACAAGCGAGGTGGTAAATATGGCATTACCCCGAGTGCTTATGTATACGATCGAGAGGCGCCAGCCTCGAGATCGAATAAAGCACATTAGAGATCGAATAAAGCCATTACCACCGAGGTTTGTATGCTATTTTATTCACAATCACATTATTTTCAGTCAAAAATTTGGGCAAAATAAAATTCTAACAAAGTTAAGGTCCAAACGCGGTAGGCCATCCAAATGGCGTTTGATTTTTGACATTTCAGAAATGTAAAAAAAATATTGAAATAATGTGTGAATCTGACTTAAAATCGTCGAAATGTGACAGTGTGTTCCCCCAGAAGTAAGAGAAACTGCTACAAAAGCAATTGAATACTAATTTAGCAAAATGTTATGCATAACTTGACAATTTGAAAGAAAAAATTCCCGGTATTTTTGTAATTTTAAGGTTGGCTATCCTGCATATTACCGCCCAAGAGAAGTAATATTATTCCTCCTCATGAGATTTCTTGATGTGTTTCCCAACCTTTAAAAGGTTAGTAATCGGCATATGACATTAGTGATTGTGAATAAAATACTTTGGCGATTTTTTTGAATGCTTACCGACTTAGCAACAATAAACAAAATACTTAACCGACGAGTTTGGGATAACAACGAGTAAATAATACTGTCTTGGAAAGATACGTAGTAAATAATCGAATATAGTTTTAAAGAAAATAATCCCGGTATTTTTGTAATCTTAACGTTGGCAAACCTGCATATTACCGCCCAATGGATAAAATAATAAAACTGGTCACGAAATGTAATGATGTGTTTCCTAACCTTTAAAAGGTTAATAATCGGCATATTACATTAGTGATTGTGAATAAATTACTTATTACTGAGTTAGGCAAGTAGATGGAAATGCAACAAACACATTTAACTGTACTGCTGGTTGCATTTTTGGGACCAAATGGCGGCGCCTTTGGAGCGTATAGTTTACATGCGTATGTCAGATTTCTATCCTATTTTACAAATTCTGTGCACACAACAGAGGGCAATATGTGCCTTTTCAGTGGCGTAGTAAAATTATTCTAAATTTTTCTTCGCTAGAATTTTTTCCTTAAAAATGATTGTTTCACTGCCCATTATGTACCTATCTTTTGATCAAGACTTTTAGTGTGTAAAAACCGTTATATGCAGGTGATTCTTAAATAGACCGACAAAATTTTATCCTTGTTAGTATCAAATGAAAACATGCTGGAAAAAAATATTTAAAAAATTCTTTGTTTAAACGTTCTTCAAATAAGATTTATTAATGTTATTTTCGAAGTAAAGCGTACGCCACTGATGTGTTAGTACAGGTAGTGGAAACCAACAACTTGATTATTGCAACAATTCATAAACGCCGTAAGTGGCACGGATCAAGGGGGTTTTGCCCCTAAAGGGTATAAACGTAAAAAGGGTACAGTTTGTCTCCATTTATCCTTAGGAAGCTGTGATAAAATTTTGTCGGTCTATTTAAGAATCATCCTGTATTTTTACTGCCTTGCAGTTTGGCATTTTTATTTCACTTTGAAATTCTTCCGAATTACAAAAAATTCAACAATTCAACAAAAACAATAAAACAACACTCAAACACATAAAAATCATGCCGTAACAACTCTAAACTAAAATGGCTGAAATGCTCAAAGTACCCCCTGTTGGGCACGCCACCGGAAAGATCCCAACAGAGGGCCAACAGTGTCGCTAATGTTGGCGCGTAGTTTGAAAAGAGTCGTAAAGTGGTACTACAGAGTACCGCATCTAAAGTATTGACGCTATATGGAAAAAATATCAAAAAATTTTATCTATAAAAATTTTGAGGTTCTGAGAATTTAAATTGTGCGCTTTCACTCTACTTATTTCTGCAGAAAAAATAATTTTCCAAGTTTTTTTGCTACAGGTCATTAGAAGAAGAAACACGGAAGCTGTATTCTAACTTGTAACTTTGTTTAATGTTATTTGTGGCTTTTATTGGCAACATTTTTGTACCTTTACTAAAACATACAAGATTATCAGTATCATTAATCAGACATAAAAAATGTCAAATGTCAAATGTCAAAATTTTTTGACAGATAGAATTTTTTAAACATTTTTTTCATGTTCCTGGTATCTTACCTTCCTTGAAAATTTTCTCTGGGGCGCGAGTTCTGGCGCACCTGTATGTATAGATTGAAAGAAAACAATCTAAAAGCAAAGTTTTCGAAAAATGGGACACTTATAAAATCACCAAAAAATTCTATCGCAGTTACCTACTTTACCTTTTTTTTTAAACATTTTTTCAATACTCTGGGGGACTACCCAAACACTCTTTTTCAAGGAGAAGTGCGCAATTTTCCGGACATCCTGTATTCTATACCATTTTAAAAATGTTATAGATAACTTTAAAAAAAATAATCACGGAACCACGTTAGTAAAACATTACTTTTGTATTATAATCTTTCAATAGAATTGTTTAGTCTATCGTCTAAAAAACTTGTTTTAGTTGTTGCACTTGTGAATATTTAATATTTAAACAAAAATTCTGAAAGTTTAAGTATCCCATTTTCTCCCTATGGCTACATTTTTGCTATTATTCTACTCGTTGAAACTGTATTCTAAAAAATACAAAAAGATGCAGTTGAATTAACAATTTATAGTTTACAAATGAGTGAAACTGTGAAGAGTGTGAGGATTTATTTAAAAGAATGATTGCTACTGTCATAATTTGGGGCTTAATATTTTAATACATATATTAAATAACTTACATTGTGAAATATTAGATTGATATGAGATACTCGTAAGGATCAATTTTTTTAACAATCTATAATTTTATCATAAAACACAATAACCACAATAACTATTGAGTTATTCAAAGAATTAACTACACACAAAACAGTTACTGCTTGACGACTTCTATTATTAATATAAAAGTACTCATTTCTGTCTCACGCTGTATTTTGCAGTAAACACAGTTACAAAACCAACAATAATCTTTCCATTTTTTGTAGAGTACCTGAAATGGCCTGAAACCCTTAATTGAGCACCCATTATGCCATTTAAACCCACATATCTATCATTCTCGGCCCCAGAGTGCAACCATTGGCCCCAAAAGTGGAACTATGGTGGGGACGTCTGCGTGAATCAACTTTCTTCTCAACCGGAGACAAGATTTATTTCTTTTACGGTAAGTTAAAAGTTATTCATATGGGTTCGGCGTGGTGGGAGTGGAGTGGAGAGACTTGAGAGAACAGAACAGTCTGTGATGTGATGGAAGTATGGAAGTGGATTTTTAGGGCGTAGAGTGTTTAGTGCAGTCGTGTGCGAGTTCAACTTTTTATAAACGTATTTTTTTATACTGTGCATTTTTATTTCGGATATGTTTTTGTATTGTTTCATTGTTTTATGGTGAGTTTCTGATTTTGGTTTTTAAATGTGATTCTTGACCTACCGTACTTTACTAGAGGTAGCCGACACGTGGTCTGCTTTGTTTGAGTCATGTTTCATCAATGTAATTTTAATTTTTGATACAACAAATTTTAACTTGTCGAAAAATCTAATAATCGTAATTATCGACATTTCTTTTTAAGTTTCTTGCAACGCAAAACATGAAACCTTTTTTTCTACTTTTTTTTACCTATTAACCTAAGTACCCTTTATAAATCGATCAATTTTTTATTAAGTTATCTACTACGAAATACCTAAAGAAAGAGATAAAACAGTAAAATATTTTCACCAACTTTAAATTTTAATAATTTATTGACTAATTTAATCACATTTCTAACATAATTTCCTATATGAGCAATAAGATGAGTAATTTTTATGCGAAAAAAATGTGATTTTATAAAAACTTTGGTTTTAGATTGTTTTCTTTCAATCTATACATATTTCAAAAATAATTTTTAGATACATGCAGAGTGTCGTATTTTGTCTATACAGTAGAACCTCTCTATAACGAGAATTCAAGGGCCAACGTATTTGCTCGTTAAACTGATTTTCACTATAAACAGTCATGGACAGTAAAAGTTTTTACACATGTACTATGCGAATTATTTATTAAATACGAATATTAAAGAAGTTTAAAAGAAATAAAAAAATGTAATTTTTGTTTGTTTTTTTTTGTATTGAAGCATTTTTATATTATCAATTGCACTTTTCAATTGTACAAGGCTATGAGAAAGAGATCGTAGTTAGGTGTAGAAGCACCCAACAACAAAAAAAAATAATCTCTAAAGAATCCTCAATTTTTTCTGCAATTGTTCTGCTTTTTATTTTAACATGGCTTCTCTACGGCTTTATCTAATTTAGCATTCTTAGCAGTATGTAACTTCTTTACTTTTGATGAAAATTCATCAGTTGAACTCGTAATCTTGTCTCTCTTCTTTGAAATTGTTGCCAAAACTGGCTAAAATTTTCTCTTTGCAGTTTGTTTCTTACCACTTTCGAACTCTTTTATTATTAATTTTTTTTTATAGAAAATGCTTGTCATTTCGAGGACGACATATTGATACAGAAAGTTTGAAAAGTTATTCAAGGCTGAAAAAGTGAGAAAAATAAGACCATTAGCACACAAAAACAACATTTCCAAAAAAATTCTAGCACACAATACGTAATGGACACTCGCAGGATTTTTATTTCTTCTAGGAGCTCTTGTAATAACCGATATGTTTCCGAAATTTCTCAGAAATTCTCGCTATTACCGATCTTGGACAAAATACAAGTTTTGTTATATCCACCTCAATTCCAGCAAAATACTGGCTATAGAGGGAGAATTTTACATAGAGTATTATACCAAACGGCAAGGGACCAGACGATTTACTCGTTATCGCCGATTTTGTTCGTTATAGAGGAGTTCCACTGTATATGAATTATAAAGTTTTTGGCAAAAGAGAAAAAATTGTTGTAGTATTGTCACAGTCTCTAGTATTTACTGAAATATTCACATTCTAACAAAAAAAATTGTTGAAATCAAATATTTTATTATGACAAAAAATTTCAGTTTTTTTAATCAGAATTTCCTATTTTTATTTATACAGTGTTGAATTAAATGAAAAATCCTACATGAGGATGTCAGGTCAACACATATTTGATTTTATGTTAAGTTTACTAAGTTTTCTCTATTCTTGTCTCTATCAAGAAAAAAATGAATTCAATATTTTAGGTATGTATAATAAAAATAACATTTTGCTTACTTTCACAAAGTTGTTAATTTTAAAAAAACTTGCAATCGGTAATATCTTTAGAACTTATTTGAGAAACGCTATCGCACCTCTATTTTTTTCAATTTTGTATTTTCATTTGTTTTTAAGGTGTAAGTACTTATTACAAAACCAATTTATGTTTTTTTAATATCATAGGAGAATTATTTTTTAAAGAGCACTTTTTTTTCTCAATTTAAACATTTTATTTTCTCCCACAACCGAAAAACTGCATAAAAAATAAAAAATTCGAAAGGCTGTAGATGTTTAAACAGAATTTACAACTTAGGTATCGTAAACGACTTCCAAAAATCAATTTTTCTGTTGTGGTGAAAATATTTTTTTTAAATAGGAGTGACTTTGAATACTATTGCTATTAAAAAAATCAGTCAATCAAATTAAATTAAAGATTTCCAAATTAGGTACACGCGTGCAAGAATTCTCCAATAATTTTTATTTTTCACTGTTTACGAATTTTACAATCTGTATGATAAAAATTATTGCTTTGCATAAAAGTATCTCAAGAAAGATCAAACACATCTTAAATAATAGTAGGTGTAGTACTAGAGTATGGCAATTTTTGATATTTTTTTTGTTAAAAATTTGTTAAAAAACAAGTAAATAATGATAGGTTAAATAATAATACTCTTTCTATACGGTTTTTATGTCATTTTAGGTAAAAGTATACTTTTGCCTTTTTGTGGGAATTGGACCTATTTGAAAAAATGAAATTTTGCATTTTTTACAAAGCGTATCGCGGTCAATGATCCCTAATCATAATTTTAATTTTTGTATAAAAAAGCCGCTACACATGTATTGGGTTACAAACTGTATTAAACATTATTACATAGGTACTTACTAAAATTACTATTTAGAAACTTAATAATGATTATTTACTTCATTTGGTTTTCTCATTGGGTACATTTTCCAGCAGCATTCCTTTTAATCAGGCTTTCATTTTTATAGCGTTTGAAAATCAAGCAATTAGCTAGTAGTTCAATTATTAATTATATAAATTAAATCGAACAATGAAATTTCACCTGAATTATGCCGACATTTCTGATACTTTTCATCCATTTCGATAAAATGATAATTTATCATTACCAATTAAAAAATGTTACCAACAAAAAATCTTGTTATAGCTATACTAGGGAAGTTTTATTATGGAAAAAAAGCACTAGAATGATTAAAGAGCGGCATTGTAAACTTATGACCCATATATGTACAAAGCGGTAATTTTAAACCAATTTTAAGAAAATGCATCGTTAAAAAGTCATTTGTCTGTGTTATGACACCTCAAGTGTTATCTTTTGTAATCAATTTGCATCGTTAAGTTGGTATTACAGTTTCCCCTTTTTATGGTTACATAAATATAAACAACGGAATAAATAAAACAGAAATTTTTATATTGTTAGTGACACATTTTCTTCACTTTGTTGTTAATAACTTTCTATTGTTAACTAGATTTTGCCAAAGATCTGTCAATATTTACGCAAAATACATACAGGCTGACCAATTTTCAAAAGTAAAATTTCTCTTGACTCATGTTACTGGTGATCAATGCTTACTCAGATTACTTGCGAATAATGCTTTATTAGGAAATTTAAAAACTGATTCACTATCGTTTATGTCAACATCTGTCATACATAAAAAATATTCCAGTATTGTTGTAGAAGAAAGCGTGAAACAAACGTCAATTTCTTATGGCCCACAAAATTTAAATTAGATGTAATTTGTTTGCCGTCAGTTAGTCCGTACTTCCTGTGTGAAATCCGCAATAATAAGTAAGAGAAAATTTAAATATGCAAGTTTTTATCAGTGTGAAGATGTCGACTGTTATCACACTGTAAATAAATAGTTGCAGTTTTATATTATAAGAGTAGGTCAAAGTATGTCTTGTTTATACATTCCTTTGCTCATTTATTAAATTTTATTTCTCTGAATCGTGTTATATGACGTTTGAATTTAACATTTGATTTTAATAAAAATTTTGTACGCAATCATGCATAACTTTTTAGTTTTATTCCTTATTTGTTTCGCTCTGTGATTTTGCTTATATATTTTCGTTTTTTCTTTCTCTAATTGGCAATCAAAGTTTGTGTAATACGAGATAACCGATCATATGCAAATTGCATCGATATTTTCTACTGTAATTTCCGCTTGATTTTCAGCAATTAAACTGTAATATATTGAATTTAAATTTTTTCTTCAAGGTTTTGTATCGATTTTTCTAAGAAATTTAGTAGGCGTGACAGAACAATTGAACATGTTAAGTGACTTGACACAATTTAGTATTAATCTAAAATCTTAAAAATATTATTCCTACATATTTAAATTCGAATTAATTTCATTAGTTTATCATGTTTCCGTTTCCGATTTCGACACATCTTGCGATAATTCTTTAGTTTCTTCACTTGTTTGTTACCTTGAAGTGCATTAATTTGTATTTGCATCACAATAAACAATAAATTTGAAAACACATTTTTAACGGATTCAAATTTTTGTGGTTTCTACGGCTTTTCTGCAAATGGTTGTAGATGTCGATAAATGTACAGTTTGTTGTAGAGACACAAAGATACTGTTTTACTTGAATAATAAGTTAGTTATCCCAGTTAACAAAAATGATTGTGTAACCAGAACCAGTCTACATGTATTGCATAATTTAAGAGCGAAAAATTGGCCGCATTGTAGTCTTTGTAAAAGATTTATTTGAATGAATGTTTTAAATGTTTGTTTAAAATGTTTTGATTGAACTTGCAAAAATATGGTGGAATAATATAAGGTAAATCCTGGAAATATAGATCAACGGGAAAGTTGGTCTTTAGAATATCCTGTAATCTTTCATGAAACTATTAATCTTAATTTTTCAGATTTCATTAATAGGCTGCTCAAAGGAATTCTGGTCCTATATGAAATGCATAATATGCGTAATATGCAAAAGAAACATTTATGATTTAAATTAAAAAAGATCATTACTTCAGTCAAGATTTTTTAAAATGTGCTTTACCTTTCTCAGATTTATCCTATATATATTTGGAAACAACAAATGGAAACAACCATGATTTTTTAAGCAAAAGACCAACATGTTTTTTTCCAAATAAATTAACAAACGTTTAAAAGTAATAAAAGTACATAAAGTAAAAATGTTTTACACAAAAACTATACGACGATATTAATAAAAAACGCAGGAAAACTGTTCTCGCACGAGGTTTATACACATTTTTTTACTAGCTTAGTAATTCTATATTTTTAATGTTGGTGACAATGCCGTTGAAAGTAATACATTGCTTTTAACAAAATTGCCAACAGAAAAAAATTGTGTAAAGTACTCGTTACAGAAAGCTATTCAAGCAATCTCTTATTTTTTAACTCGACGCTACGCGGCTCGTGTTAGAATTTCAATCTCTTGCTTGAATGCTTGCTTGTGTTCTGTTACTTGTATTTTACAGCTAATATTTTATTATGTGAGCGAATATTTTTTTTTCAATACAAAAATGTACGCTGTGACCATATTATGTAATATGAATTTTGTTTTCAGAAGAATAAAATTTTTTGGAACTACATACCTACCTATTTTATTATACAGTGTGCGCCAGAACTCGCGCCCCAGTAAAAAATTTCAAGTAAGATAAGATACCAGGAACATGAAAAAAATGTTAAAAAATTCTGTCAAAAAATTTTGACATTTATTTTTTGACATCTGACATTTTTTATGTCTAATGATACTGATAATCTGGTATATGTTTTTTATAATTATTTAGTAAAGGTAGAAAAATTTTGCCAATAAAAAAGCCACAAATACCATTAAACAGAGTTACAATTAAGGTTATAGCATCCTTGTTTCCTGTTCTAATAGCCTGTAGCAAAAAAAACTTGGAAAATTATTTTTTCAACTGAAATAAATAGGGTCAAAGTGCAAAATTTAGACTCCCATAACTTATAGATAATTTTTTTTAACATTTTTTCCATGTACCTGGTATCTTACCGTATATGGCATTTTTCTCTGGGGCGCTAGTTCTGGCGCACCCTGTATTTCTCTTACGCAAAAATTCGTAGCCTTCGTTTTAATTTTAGATTTTTCAATTAATTTTTAAAATTACCCCAACACTTTGAATTATAGGTATTATAATACGTTCCCAAGACCAATTCCATTGTTATTTGTCTATAGATATAATAAAATTTCGCGTTGAACACAAACCGTACACAAAAATTGCCAGTACCGTTCCAACATCTAAATAGTGTCAAGTAGAAAGAGATGCGTACTCAGAGTCCACTGACTGCTGACCTTTATCTACTTGTTCTAAGCAAACATTTATGAAGATTTATGCGTACATATTATGTGTACTTTTTATAATTTCGTTGCGAATCCTCTCATCTCTATGGATTCATCGAAGCATTTAGACTTTCGCGGAATCATTTAAAACTAATTGCCTTTGGTATTAATGGTATTGATTGGATACGATTTGAGTAAAGTGCGCTTTGGGATTTGAAATAAATAAAATAGTCGGACTGATAGAAATAAGAAATGGTTGTCTTTGATAGAAGCAAGTCCAATGACCTTGCGGGCGTGAATATGTAGGTATTTACGGTTGACTGGCTCTTGCAATCATTGTGATCGCTAGTTTACTTATTATTCTATGGTCCTACAATATTGATATTGCAGAATGGAAAAAAATAAATGTCTATATTTGTATTTCATAATCTAGACGATAGACAACGATTAATAAGTATAGATTAATCAATTCATGAGGGGTATTTCTGATTTTTTTGCGGCAACCCATTAAACATTGCAAGAATTTCTTCATTTCAAATTTTGAAAATCATTATAACTGAATCCATGATAGCTATTATTAGTCTTGTCCCTTTGACATTAAAGCAAAAATCTAAATCTGTCCAACTTACTTTGATTTTTAATTTAAAAGAAATAACATAGGTACTTAATTTAGCAGTTAGTGATATTGGTATTGTTGATTGCGTAAGAAAATTTTCAGAAATACTTCTCTCGTGAATAATACTGTAGTTTCTGAGATATACAGGATGTTCTAGAATTCGCGCTCCAAAGAAAAATGCTAAGTAACAATGACAATTATTAGTATTTCTGTGCAAGTAACATAGGATACCAGGAACATGAAATAAATGTTAAAAAAATAAAATTCTTAAGTTATAGTGGTTTAAATTTTTTTGCACTTTGTCCCTATTTATTTCTATTTGAAAGATAATTTTACATGTTTTTTTTTCTGCAAGCTTTTAGATGAGGAAACAAAAAAGCTGTATTCTTAATTGTAACTAGGAATATTTAACGTTATTTGTGGCTTTTATTGGCTAAGTTTTGGTATCTTTACTGAATAATTATGAAAAAACATAGGTATATAAGATTAAATAGACATAAAAAAGTCAAATGTCAAATTTTTTATGTTCTTGGTATCTTATCTTCCTTGGTATTTTTCACTGTTTTACACTACACAAAAGAAACCGTAAAACGTGAATTATCGTTCATTAACAAACCTTTCAAACTTTTCTTAAGTTTAATTATTTTCTTGTAATGTTGTGTCGACATTATTATTTGGCAACAAATGTTTCCCAACCTTCACAATTTGTCATATTGTTTGAATTTTCAAATTTATTTTTCCTTTTATACTATTTAATTAAAATTTGTGTCCACGCAAAATAATGTATTCAAATTATCTTATTTAGAAGTCGTGTAGGTGCTAAATGGATAACTTGAACTTGACGCTATAACAAGAAAGGAAACCACTTAGCATCACAAACTTTATTTGTCACGAAACGAAGTTCACTTTCTTAGATTTAAGTAGGTTTATTTAATCAGATTTTATTCTCATCGTACAAAAAATAGCGAAACACTGACATTTGACTCAAGTTATCAAGTTACTTACCTTCTTGAGAGACTGAAAGTGTGCTAAAAAAGCGATTATTGTAATTTCTTTATATGCAAATAATCGTAAAACTTAATTATTACAAATTATGAGCCGATGGCCAATGACAGTTAATACTAAAGAAAGTTAAAAACAAGTTGTGATTCATATTTTTCACAACTGCGAATTTGAGAAATTTTAAATAATCACCAATGGTTTTCGGAATGTAGGGCAATTAACTTTTATGTTGACAGAACTGTCTTTGCAGCGTCGTAAATCCTAGACAAAAAATAAAGAAATTGACAAATGATTACATCTTATCTCTAGTATTTATCGAGATACAGTCACAGTCACAGTGGTCATTTTGCTACCAAATAAAAAAGTTACTGTTGTACCTATAACAGGATGAGTCATATTTAGATATAAAAACTTTGTTAGAAACAGATATTTTATTACTATTTTTTCTAACTGTAATTGTGAAAAAATACCTCGATAAGAATGTCATTAACTTATTAGGTACACCTTCGGTTTTTACTTGGGCTTCATCTTGTCTGCGCCCTCGATTAAATAACCTAAATCCTTACGATAATGATATATCTCACCTCGGTTGTAATATACTATAAAAATGTTTTTTTTTTCAAATCATATAAGTAAACTATAAGAATTTCGACTAGATTATAATACACAATTTAGTGTTAATTTAAAAAAAAAACCCTCGATGAAATACTTTTTGTAATAGACTTGGTTAAAACTTTTAATCAATTTTGTTTTTTCGGATATGATTTTATATACAGGTGCGCAAGAACTCGCGCCCCAGAGAAAATTTTCAGGTAAGGTAAGATACCAGGAACATGAAAAAAATATTTAAAAAATTCTATCTGTCAAAAAATTTTGACATTTATTTTTTGACATTTGACATTTTTTTATGTCTATTTAATGATACTGATGATCTTGTATATGTTTTTTTTTACAATTATTTAGTAAAAGTACAAAAATTTTGCTAATATAAGCCACAAATAACATTGAACAGAGTTACAATTTAGGATGTAGCTTCCTTGTTTCCTTTTGTAATAACCTGTAGCAAAAAAACTTGGATAATTATTTTTCCAACAGAAATAAATAGAGTCAAAGTGCAAATTTTAAACTCTCATAACTATAGATAAAAAAAATTTAACATTTTTTTCCATGTTCCTGATATTTTTTTCCCTGGGGCGCGAGTTCTGGCGCACCTGTATACATATACCCCTGTATACCTACCTTAATAAACATACAAATGAAATGAGAATACGAATACATAATTCGTATCAAGCATTTCTGAAGTTCAAGGCTAAAATTTTGAGGAAGCCGTCCTGGGGCAACTTTCCTTTTAAACTTGTTTCAATGTTATTGTACTTCAAGCGTTTAATTTTTTAAATTTATTGTTCTATTATGATTGTAATTTTCGCATTTCCGGGCCATTTTTGAGAATTATTGCTTTAATTAAAACAGTTAATTTGGGTTTGAGTAAATATAGATTTGGTTCATTCACCTAGTACTACACTTATCGAAGATTATCTCGAATATTTCCAGTTACTAAAAATAGGCAGGAATATCGTTTTTCAAGCGGTTATCAAACAAATGTTTCAGATGTCTGGGAAAATATTTGATTCCCATTTCTCTGCAAGTCTTGTTTTAATAGCAACAATAATTTTTTAGAATATTTGTGTCACTGGCTATTGACTTCTAACTTTCAACACTACTCAAAGTACTTAGTCAAATACTTTATTTTAAATATGTTCCCATTACATCTGTTTGCAATAAATTAATTTTTGCTTCTAGTTAGTATGTTGTAACTCTCGCAATATGACACACCTTGTTGAATAATTACAAAATTATTAACTTTTCTTAAATAAGGAAATGCAACATTACATAATTTTGTAACTGAAAAATTGCAATCAACTTGTTTGAAAATGAATTATTCATTATTATGGAAGGACGTATGTTTTTTTACAAAGAAAAATTAATGTTGGAGGAAGATGAGGGAAGTTTGAAAGTCATTTTTTATTAAAGATATATAAGATTTCTCATTTTCCATTACGAAAAAATTACTATCGCTAATCTTCATCTTTATTTTGTTACAGGTTGTAATTCCTAATATTTCCGTGGAATAATACATGATTACTTCTAGGTGAGTAATTAAACTTCTTTAGTAATAGGCTAGTAGGTATTAATAATTAATAAAATAACGCATCTAATCGATGAAAAAGATTATTTAAGATTAAAACAATAAATTGATGAGTTCCTAATTATGTAGTTTTAAAAAAAATATGAAAAACAACGTTTATTCACAATCATTAAAAAAAACTCAAGAGTGCTTTGACAAATATTTTGAATGTCTTTGATTAATACATTTATCCAGTTGTCAAGATGACATTAGTGAACGATACATACGACGACATACGTTGTCGATTCTTAACCTTTTATTAGAAGTCGGGAAATAAGTCATACCATGGCAATTACGTGAATGCAATTTTGTAAGGAAAACGATATTTTATTATTTCAATCATTGTGATTGTGAATAAAATAGGTAGTATACATATCACTCATATAAGTCTCGGTGGCAATTTCAACTTTATCTAACCTCAACCGCATTTCTTGGTCGGATAACCGGTAATGAAATATTCCTAACCTCGGTAGTTATTTACTACTATTTCTAGCCGTTTTTTAATCGTAACACTCCTAGAATATACCGTGTGTCTCCAGATAGGTGATACGACTTTTGTAAAAAAAATCTTGATCTAAATTTTATTTTTTTTGAGTTTAGCCTTGCTTGGTTAAAGACCAATTTTTAACATAATCTTAGTTTTGAAAAATCAAGTAAGTACATATGTCTTGGAAATTTTCAAAATAAAACTATTTTTCTGTAGAGTACAGTAGGTAGAGTTTTGTGTGGCAAATACGACAAAAAGTTATTAAGAAAAGTTGTTTAGAATCAACGTCTAGGCCAACTTTGATTTTTATTTTTTTTTATGTTTATTATTTCACAAATCAAAGAGTTTTATTTTTAACCGTTCTTTTATTACGAATAAAATAAATTTATATTAGATTATTACTACTAAATAACTTTTATCTGCAAACGTCAGAAAAATGTCGCTTTTATAACTAATTGACACAAGTAAAAGTTTTACTTTTCAGACATGGGGTAAAACAGTGTTTTTTCGCCTAAGCGTTTTTGACTTTTACTTGACATTTACTTTGACATTTACCAATGTTGTCTCTTCCGCTGCTTCAGCATTTTTTTAAAGAAGTAGGTACAGAGTAGATTATTAGCATTGGACATTTTGCGCTACAAACTACACTAGTTTACTAGTTAGAGCTTATTCCATATCTGGTGGCGAACTGACAGTGATAGAAAAGACACTTGGAATGCGCCCACTTAATTAAGATAAAAAAATTCAATTCATGGGCGTACTTTTTTTTCTCTAAAAATTTTGAAGACAAGGATTGTTAGGAATATCATTTTTGAAAATTCTTTTCATGCGTTAACAATTTAATAATTTGTTCATCATTCTTCATCTTATGCACGAGTACCTACATATTATAATTTTTTAAAGAATAACAGTGGTTTTGAAATATTATTTCATACGACGCCTATGAACAATATTTTTTTTAATAGTAAACATATGTTTAATATCAAAATTTAATCATTTTTGACAACGTCAGTTCGCCACCAGATTTGGAACAAGCTATATTCACTAGTTAAATCAATCAACACTTACGAAAAACTCAACACAAATTTTGAAACTGACGCGTTATGATTTTATTGCAAATAGCCCTGATTATTTTGGTGATTTACTTGATAATTTGTGTGTTGCTCTTTTCTCTCGATCTGAATCGTTTTCGGATAAATAGTATATACAAAAACAATCACTTTTATTCATAATAACATAATATACTATTCAACGTATCTGTTACTAAAAAACTTCCCGATGATTTTGAAATTTGGTATAGGGGCCTAAATGTTAATTCTGAACAACTTTTCTTAATAACATTTTGTAGTATTTGCCACATAAAAGGCACTTTAGAGATAAATAGTTTTCTTGAAAATTTTTAAGGCATACCTACTTGATTTTTCAAAACTAAAATTATGTTAAAAATTAATCTTTAATTAAGCAGATTTTTTTTATTTCTTAATAGCTTGACCCTTTCCATTAAATTTAATAATAGATTATTATTTATCTCCTCTTTGTTTTCTGTGTGGGTATAAAACCAGCGGTTCACCTTGCGTCAAACCGAAAAGGAAACGTTTCTTTCACAAGGAGATAATATCTTGTAATTTTTAAAGAAAGATTGTCAACGACTGGTAATATTCATGTATTACAGGTATTACACGTAATAATTAACAAGTGTACAAGTCGGAATAATAGACATTGACTCATTGTGATACGATGTTATTTTATTATGAACACATACAAGAGTGTTATTAAACAATAACGTACGCCAGTAATTTCCTGTAAAATTAGTATACCCACCTAATATAACACTCAATTTCGACACATTATATTTTGAAATTTTCACAAATCAACGCTAATTGACAAAAATGTTTTGCTAATTCGTAATTTAACACTTACAAAAAAGAAATAAATTCAGTCCCGTTATAATTAAATTGTGTGAGATGACTATAATTTTTATTCCAAACAATCTAGCCAATGACCGCTATTAAAATTCAGCTTGTTTAAGAAATAGCAGTGAAAACACGAAAATTTTAAACTTAATCACACAACATGTACTCAATGGTTTGCATATCGAATATTATTTCTGAAAGTAAAGTCAATAAACTTGCAATTTCTTCGTTACGTGTTTCTCTTTTAAATGAAAATGGATTTATTACTTGTAATCTCTGGTAAAAACAATACTTACTTTCCTAAAGTAGAATGTAGTGAGAAAATAATTATAAAAAGAAGCAGTAACAATAATGGAATTAAATGTTTTAATAATTCATGAAAATAGAGAAATGTTTGTTTAATTTAACGCAATTAATTATCGCTATTATCCTGTTATAATAAATTAGTAAAAAACTTCTGCAATGTTAATTGAAGAAAATATTTTGATAGCGTTTCGATTGTTTCGTGTGCTGGAATTTAACAATTATTAACACGAGAACTGGCTTTTTAAGTTTCTAATTAAATTCAATGTAACTAAAAAAAGGCTAGTTTAAACTTTAGGTGAAATTTTAGAAGTTTTGCAAAATTACTACAGAACATTTTGATAAAAAAATGAAAAACTCGTTTCTTTTGATATACAGGGTGAATAAAGTGTAAAACCAAACGTTTTTTGTTAAACTACTTACCTTCAAAAAAATAATTGGCGAAAGGTAAAAGACACCTAGTGCTATTAAAATGTGCTCATATTTTGAGAGTGAAATTTTGTGTGGAATTTTTTTGCCTCATTAGCTAAAATTAATAAGTGGAAAATTTTTGAGGTATAAAAACTAACCCCAAATTTAATAAAACTTTATTTTAAACATCAACTTACAATTGAACTCGTGATGTCATGCAACTTTCTTACCGAATACCACTTAAGTTGGCGACACTTAATGTTAAAATTAAATGACAGTTAAAACTGACGCCATTTCGCTTAAAAATGACAGTGCAGTCAGTGTTAGTAACAGTATCGCATAAAATGTTACCAAAACAGAGTTGCGTTTTAATACAAATGTCAAAATTGTCATGGCGATCACGAAATAGAAAAAAAAAACATTAAATTGTATACCTAATATATTTATATTGTTTTAAAACCCAATAATGGTAAAAGATCCCAAAAGTAGTTCACAAGTTCGTATTTACAAAATTTAATTTTCTAACGGTATTTTTAACAGTGCATTAAAATGTAATGACTAAATATGTTTAACACATTTTTTTCCATCACGATAATAAATCATTTTTATCCGAAAAATTATTAACTTTCCAATCCTGGCTTTTGCAAGGATTATCAAATTTGTCGTTTTGAAGCAATTACTCATTAGTGAATGCAAAATTCCATCCTTCACATTTCTTCACTCTCTAAAGTGAATAAAGATGAATTTTTCTTCCTAAGTCGCATTTGCACAACCTTCACACTAAAATATAAACCGTGCTAAACTTGAAAATAATTAAAATCGACAAGGTATTTTACTAAACATTTTTCATTCATTGTATTAGTAGCACACTTCACAATTCATCATTAAAATCTTTCAGGTATTTTCTTGTTTCCCATGAACTCGTCCTAACAACCATAATCAAACAAGAATTTACGTTTCGAGCCCAACAACTGGATCACCATCAATTACCTTACATAATATTTTTTAAATTGGGAGGTTGGAAAAGAATTTTAATATGTATCGTGATTTCCTTCCTCTTTCTCTTCCAGTGATTGATTAGTGGTAAAAATACTTACGGGGAGATTATTTTGGGATGAGGGGATATGTTGTCGGTTGTATTTTAAGAGAGGTAAAAATAATACACAGGGTGTGTCGTCTCGAATCGTTAAGTTTAAAAGGGTATTGTTCTGTTTAGGTGATTATAGATAATTTATTGTTATTGGCTTTGATTATGGGTGATTTAATAACGGAAATTGGGAGCAATTAAATTTTTTATAGACTTGCTGAGAAAGAAATAAGAAAAAACAAGTAGGTATGGCCCTTTTAACAATAAATGTGCTAAATAATTCGTATTGCTAATCTACGAATTAATAAAATTTGGGAATGATTATAAGTCATTACGAAAATAAATAATTGTCACCAAATAAATAAAATCCTCTGATTATTAAAAATATATCCCAGAATTAATTTGTTATCTGAGATTAACATAATTGTGTCCAAATGTGTTCTATGTTATAACAGTTGGTAACCAAAATAAACGAATAATCACCGTAATTCATATTCACAATAAATCTATATTGTTCGGAAAATAATTATGTTCTCAAAATGGTAGATTAGTCACCAAATTTATTGTATGTATTAGAACTTTATTACGATGTCTGTTTTAAGACATGTTCGTGTCACTCTGAGAACAAATTTAATTTTTTGATAATATTTTTTAATGACTTGTATCTGCAACTTTTCATTTTCTCTCAACCCTAAACAACATGTACAGATTTTAGGAAAATTACGTTTTTTATGTTGTTGGTAACTTGAATTTTCAGAAGTAA